GGAACAATTTTCGGTATGCCCTTTCTCTTCGTTTTATTTTCTTCATGTTCCATTAGCGAAATTAGTCATACATCACGAACCCTGCAAAAAAAAGGGGAAAAAAGCTCAAAAATTTCTGACATTCCCCTTCCCCTCTTTCAATTAGCAGAAGCACTTCCCTTCCTAGAAGTAAATGAGAATTTCCAAAAATGGCTTTTCAGTTAGCCTACTTCAGCCATCCTCGAGCAAGCCATCAGTCACACTCAATCCCAGAGGATTACTGACTTCTCTGAGACCAGATGCTTATATGCTGTTTTCTACTTTTTCCCCTAGAAATTTGGGGAAAAAAAATTTTTTTTAAATATGCAAGTAAAAATTACTGCAAGGAAGAAACTGTTCGAAAGTACCGGGAAAATTTTTAAAAAAGTTTTTATACCCCTTCTTTTACCTGAGAATAAACTCAAACGGAGTAAAAGTCGCAACAATAAAAAACATTAAAAAGTGGTAAATACAAGAAATAACACAATATTTTATTACAACTTCTCAATAGGGATTTCCTAGCACATTTGCACTTGGTAATCCTAACTGACTAAACTGCCAGCATACCTGCAGTTAACAGTCTATGTAAACAGTGCAGCAGGATTACTGGATGTAATGAAGCACCACAAAAATTCCGGAAAAATCGTTACACATTTAACATTTTTCTTCGGACAAATGAGGAAAAAGTGCAGGGAAGCTGCGAAAGACAAAAACAAAAATAACAAACTGACCATCAGATAACGCAATTTCAGTCAGAAAAGCCACAAGACGAATGACAGCTAAGAAAGTGATACGCTACAGTAATGGAACAGCATTAGATAAAAGTATTCAAATTTGTTCAGGAGCGGTAAATGATGGCGTGAATGAAACAATCAATCGGTAAAATACTGAAAATACAAAAAACAAGCAACCGGACAACAGCAACATCGCTAAAAACACCACAGAACCAGTAAAGAATTTTAAGTAGGAAAATGCAACATGCAATACAAAGAAAATCATTTATCTAAAAGTATTCAGGGCCGAAGCCTCGACAACAGCTTCTGTCAGGGGGACCAGAAGTTGGTAATCAGTTCAGCGGATGAAGTTAAAGTCGTGTTCGACTAAAAGACTGATCAACAGGCGATCTAGGACTGACTGCTTTAAGTAAATGGGGAAAAGCAGCTGCAAAACTGAACAGCTAGACCATAAATGAAAACTGATTAAACTGTCCACAATTTAAATATCTCGTCCCCTGCGCTTACAAAACTTCCAAGAACC